TTTCATCACAAGTTTCTCTCGCCCCTGTAGCCTGTCATCTTTCCATTTCTCTTTTTAAGGATTTTGGCTACCTTTACCTCTTATTTCAGTTTACGGACTGCAAACCCCAAACCAGTTTCTTGATGAAATCTGACCTCTCCCTTCAGATTTATTCATGGGCGAAGCGTGTGGCTTGATGCCGACGGTGCCGTGGGAAGCCTCCTGTGATGGGGGGAGATGCCGGTCCTGTCTCCTCGGGGCTCGGCAACTGGCGCCCGGCTCCAAATTTGGCACTATGCCCCCATCCCTCTGTATAGAAGTGATCCTCCCTAGCGTGGAATTATTTATTATTAGCTCATGTTATTGGCAAATTTACTGTTGTTGGGCTTTTTTCTATCTTTTCTTCCCCCCTGACCTTCCCACCTTTGTTGATAGTGAATGTTTTAATCACAAAAATGCCAATAAATGCTAGAGTCCTGAAAATAATGATTTCAGTAGAGTTTGAGGCTTTTAAAAAAAGCTCTTTTTAGTGTTCACCAAACCTCTCAATGAGTCCTTTATGTCCATTTTATACTGATAATAGCTCTATGTTTAACTTATTTCAGAGTGAGAAAGATCATACTCGGTGTTTGCCCGGTGTTTTTAGCTGCTCTGGTTTTACATCTTATTGCCAACCAATTTTAAACTTTTTTTTTTTTTTTTAAATGACCAGGAAAATCACCTGCTCCTGTTTGTGCAGCAGATTTGGGGAGTTAAATTCATCTCAGGTGTAAGCAAGCACGGCTTTATTAAAATCTGTGCAACATTACCCGGCTCTGGATGTGCACCAGTGTGTGCTCGGGGCGGGGGGGCTGTTTACAAAGTGCTTTGAGCTCCTGTGCCAGACAAGATGGGGAAATACAATTAATTTCTCTTAGGAAATGCCTTTTTTGTTCGCTTATCAAGGATTTATTTTATTTTATTTATTTTGCAGCTGCGCACACCTGTGTGTGTGTGCATGTGGAAATGTCAGGTTGTGCTTCTGTGTGCAGACACAGACCGTGGTGGGGACACACGGGGGACACGTAAGGCACCTCCGTCCTTCAGACTGAGGACATCCCGAGCGATCGGGATGCTCCCATATGGTTTTTCCTGGAGAACCTTTGCAGGAGAAGGGCTTTTGCTCAAAGCAGTAATTGAGACGGGGAGTACAAAGAGAGGAGGAAAATTCTCTCCTTGGAAAGTTGCTCTGGGAGGATTAATTTATTGTTGCCCCTTTTCTTAGCGTGGTTTAGACTTCACTGGAACAACTGGATTCTAAGGAAAAAAAAAAAAGAGGTGTTCTCTAAAGAATAAATCTTATTTCGTACGTATTTTTACTAGTTTTTCCACTGCATGGCTAAAAGCACGGCCTTGCAAGCCCTCTCTGTCTGTATTTAAAGGTGAGGAAACTGAGGCACAGTCAGCCCTGGGCTCTGTGCATCTTCCTCTGCCATCTGGGACTGATGGCTGATGCAGATGGTGCAGGATCAGGCCATAAACAACATGTTCGGTGACATGAGAGGGCCCCTGGGCGAGCTGAGGTCTGGGCTAGAGACTCCCAACTTCCCATCCCATGCTTGAGTTGGGGTATGGTCCCTATCACTTCTGGCACCAAGAATGGGCAACATTTATTGGTTTTTTCGGTTGTTGTTGCTAGTGCTTTCACTGCGTATTTGAACACAAAGTGTGGCTTTCTGGGTTCCCTCTGCGGTGAACTCTCTGCCGATTCTGCCCTACTTCTTCCCTGCAGGAAGGAGGGGAAGAGGCAGGGAGGAGAGCGGGGAGCTCGAGTACCCCCATCGCTGCTTCTGGGCTGGGGAGCGCTTAGGGATGAGCACTTGGGGTACTAGGATGCAGACTGCCTGTTGGGGTACCCTTGGGAAAGGAAGGAAAGCCCTGGTGATGGGGACTAAGCCCCACTGATCCAACCTGGGATGAGCATCCCTTTTTGGGTGAGCATCTCCTTTGCCATGTTAAGCCCCAAGTACAACTCAAGCTTCCCTCTTCCCTTTGTGTTTCCTGCAGTGCTGAGCATCCGAGGAGCGCAGGAAGAGGAGCCCACGGACCCCCAGCTGATGCGGTTAGACAACATGCTCCTGGCCGAGGGGGTAGCAGGCCCCGAAAACCGCCCCCCGCCCCGCCGCGCCAGCCGCATCGGGAGGAGCCGGCTCCGATAACTCGGTGGAGCACTCTGACTACAGAGCCAAACTCTCTCAGATCCGGCAGATCTACCACACGGAGCTGGAGAAGTACGAGCAGGTAACAGGCTCCTTCGTGATGGAGAGCAGGGCTGCCCAGGGCTGGTGGTCATGGGATGGTGGGAGCAGGAGCCGGAGCAGCTGGGAGAGCCACAGTCCAGTGCCGGCACCGCAGCATGGATGTGCACAGCCTGGATCGCTACTGACATCTATTGTTAGGAGCGTATGGGCAAATGCAAACCAGTTTGGTATTGGAGTGAAAACGTGCTTTTGTAGTGTTGGGAGGATTGGGTTTGTGCGCTGGGATGTGGCACGAGAGTAGGCTCGGCATGGGTTGCCTCTTTGATTTTTGCTTTTCGTTCCGCCCCCCCCTAATATCTTGTGAAAAATTGGCCCTACGAAGGGGGAGTCCTCTTCGAGGTGCTGGTCCTGGTGCAGGCAGTTTTCCAAGCAAGGCTTGAGCTTGAGTCATGAATGCGGCTATTGGCAACACTGGCAATGGCATGAAAAGCTTTGCAGGCCAACGCTCAAAACCAATTCCTTTCAAACGCTTCCAGATGTTTTGCAGACCTCTCTTTGCTGCTGCACAGCTTGCCCTTGTGATAAATGTGATTTCTACCCCGAGGTTGTGGTTTATGGAGTGCAAGCCAGAAAGCATCCCTCCTTTTTGGGTGCAGGATGGGCTCTGCGACCAGGGGCCAGGTGGGGTTTCAAATCTCTGGTTTAACACTCTGCCGGTGTGATGGGGCTGTGAGCAGCTGCTGGTGCCAGGGTCTGAACGGGCAAGCCAGCCCAGCCCCAGTTTTAACTGGGCTAACTGGATGCGTGGTGGGGCTGGGGGATGTCTCACCCCTTCAGGTGCCATGTTGGCCAAGCTGAGGCTGCTGGTCGGCATCTTCAGACCTACATCCTGGGGTGATGTGGAGCTACCTTAGATGGGTGCCCCTGGGTTGGAGCTGGAGTCAGGGTGGCCAGGCAGGGCTCTGGTGTTGGCGAGGCCAAGCGTGGTCATGCCATGAAAGACATTTTGGCAGAGCATTAGAGGAGGAGGGGGTGGCACGACCCAGGGAGAAAGCAGGGTGCAGGTTGGAAGGATGACCTTTGGTGGCTGTCCTCAACCCTTGCTGTCACTCCCTTGAGGCACGGAGATGTGGTGGTACAGCATGAGGGAGCCTCAGCCATCTCATATGGGTGGGAGTGAAGAGTACATCAGGGCTCATCTTTCAGCCCCCAGACTGAAGAGGGAGAGAGAGACCCCACATCCTCTGCCACCCAAGCCCAAGGAGAGACCCTTGGCCCAGCCAGGGACAGGGCTCACGGAAGGACCTTCTGTTCTGTCCTCCCTTGGGTGGGAGTTTCGTTTATTTGCTTCTCTGATTTTGTTTCTGCATCATTTTTGCTCCCCAAAGGGACACCCAGGTGAGAGAAGCCTTTACCCCAGACCCATGGGGTGAGATGGACTTTATCTTTCATTCTCACAACCCACTGACCGGGTTGGTTTTGCCACTGAGTTGCTTTGCAAATGGCTTTTCTGGTCCACATCTCTGGTATCATCACCTGCCGTCCTGCAAAACCAGGGTTCAGGGTTTCTTGACCTCCATCCCTCTCTCTCCAGTCCCATTGTTGGCAGCTGGGAGAGCTCAGTGCCTGGCTTCTCAAGGCGTCTGGCTGCTGCTGAGACAGCACAGCGCTCGCTGGCAATTTTGCTTTTAATACTTTTTATTTCACGCCAAGAGGAGATGAACTGAAATTGCTGGAGTGTCTGGGAGCAAAGAGGCGCCTGACTGAGAGCTCTCATAGCCAGTGCTCACCCCGGGAGATGGGAGCTGTCAGCTGAAGCTGGTGATGGGCAATTGGAGGGGCTCTGCTGGCTTGAGGGTGTCTCCTTGTTGGATCTGAGCTTGATGGGGATTCAGCTTGGAAGGGTGAAGTGGGAGATAGTAAGTCAAGCCCATGTTGCCAGTCCACAAAATCAGTGTTTCTAACCCCTGCTAGCCTCTTTTTCCCCATCATGGGGTGGGAAATGGAGATGCTGTCCCTAGAGCAGCTACCCATGTCCCAGGAGCACCGAAGGCTTCTGGAGAGATCAGTGTCCAAGTGCTGCTCTGAACCCATTTTTCGGGGCTTGGTTCTGAGAATTGGAGGATCCTGTCATGCCCACGAAGTGCTTGTGGGATGGAGGAGAGGGCAATGAAGTGGCCTTCATCTGTCCTCAAAACCCCTCCGTTGTCCCCCTGACTCCTCTCGCTGCCCTGTCCTCACAGCATAGCATGGGGACAACAGGAGCAGCCAGACAGTGCTGTGCCAGCAGCAAACTAATTGGGCTTATTACCTGCTTGCCCTTACTTGTCAGGGCTCCTGCCTCACTCAAGCTTTAATTATTATCATTATTTACTTCTTATCTGATGTGCTAAGAGCACGGAGCAGGGCCATGTCTCTCTGGGACCTGCTCCGTTGAAGCACGAGGGGCTCTGCAGGACACGTGGTGCTGGGGTCCAGCTGGGGTTGTGAGAGGACGGCCAGTGGGTCAAAAGGTTCATGATCATCCTCAGATACATCTATAGCTCCTCCGGTCCCATCCAGAAAAACAGTGACTGGGACTTCTTGATGCTTGACGTGAGTCCTAGGATTTCACCTGCCCCAGCTCCATCCATGATCCCTGAGGGCAAAGAAACTGGCTCCTGCCTTTCTCGCCATGTTTGCTGGGAGTCTGTCATGCCCTCTGCTTGGCAGATGAGAGAAATTTATCTCTCCCCCGAGAGCCAGCACACTCTTGCTCTGAGTCTGCCCTAAATTTAGCCCTAGCCATTGAGGGCTTCACTTGTGTCTCCTTCCTTAGCAGCATTGCCTCTGTACTGTCCTTGACGTCATCGAATGACCTTCCGATCCTGGGGTTTCTTTTGCTTTTCTTGCCATCCCAGGCATGCAATGAATTCACCACCCACGTGATGAACCTGCTGCGTGAGCAGAGCCGGACCCGACCTATCTCACCAAAGGAGATAGAGCGGATGGTGAGCATCATCCACCGCAAGTTCAGCTCCATCCAGATGCAGTTGAAGCAAAGCACGTGTGAAGCCGTCATGATCTTGCGCTCCCGATTTCTGGATGCACGGTGAGTTCACCCCACCCACCATTGCAGTATTTCTCAGGCCTGGGAGAGGTGTTTTGAGTTTCTGGAGTAAGTTCAGGTCCATCTGAAGGGCTGTGTCTCTTGGTCTTGAGTCTCAGAGGCTATTTACCTTCCTTATAGTTTAGTTATCTGTGGCTCAGCAGGGGAGGAGACAGCAATTCAAGACATCCAGCCTCTGTCTTGAGGAGACTTCCAGCTGTACCTTGAGAATTGCGCATCCTTGTTTTGCTGTGGCAGAAGGAAATTCTGTGGCATATTGCAACAAACCTCTGTGGTGAAAATGTGCACTTGAGTTAGAGATGAAAACTAATCCTCCAGCCCATCCTGTCCCCTCTAGGTTCCTGTTCTTTTCCTTCTGTTTCCGTTGTCCCAGATTTTCAAATTATTTCACTGCCCAACCTGATTACGTGCAGGCTGTGGCTTGGGCCGCAGCTTGAGCTGGGGAGAAGAGGCAGCTACACTGGGGGTATGAGGAAAGAGGTAGCAGACAGATAACGCCCAGCTCTAAATGGAACAGACTCCCCGAAGCATACATCCAGCGCTGCTTGCTTGGCACGGAGCTTTGCAGAGTAGCAGTGAGGTCTTTGGCCAGGACAACCAGGTGTTGGGAGTCACCTTCCCAGGTGGAGGAGCTGGGTGCCAGTTTTAAGACTTTTCTGTGAGCTGGAGGATACAGTTATAATTTGAGACGGACACTTAATTGCTTTGGAAGGTGCTGAGAGAGGAGTCACCAGCAAGGCACAGATGAGAAGCTTCCCGGCCATGAGTCTATTGCACTCCATGGTCCCAGGAGCAGAGCAAGGAGGGAGGGAAATGGGGAAAGTCAGAGTATCTGAAATTGCATTCCTATTTCTGGATCCCTGGCACTGATTCCCTTTCCCTTTTCTTCTATTTCCCCCTTTTTCTTCATGCTAAGGCGGAAGAGACGAAACTTCAACAAGCAGGCTACGGAAATCCTGAATGAGTATTTCTATTCCCATCTCAGCAACCCTTACCCCAGTGAGGAAGCCAAAGAAGAGCTAGCCAAGAAATGTGGCATCACAGTCTCACAGGTGAGAGAGCTCAGAAATACAGCGAAGTCGGCTACTGCTAACGGGAAACCTTAGCATGGTGAAGGACATTCCAGACCTCAGTCAAGTCAGTCATATCCCAGTGTTGAGCATTTAATTACTAAATGAGTTTAGCGCAAGTTAGTGTGAGTGGATAGGAGAGAAGGTGGCAGACTTGCAGACTGATGCCATGGATGGAAAAGGAGAGTTTGGGAGAGGATTTAGAAGGGATGAAGACTTCATGGAACGATGGCTGTGTGTGCAGCCAAGGTGTTAACAGCACAGAAATGATGTGGCGTGACCCACAGAGGCAAAGTCTTCTCCTCAAGGAATTGGTGCTGAGCTGGCTTGCAAGAAGAGCTCATTTGAGCTGAAAGTCCATTCTTCAAGCCAAGGGTTTCGAGGGCAGTAGGAAGAGTTGCACAGATTTTGCTTGGTAAGGTAGAATGGACAAGGTCCTGGTGGGAAGGGCTTGGGTCAGACAGGCTAATGATTGTAGTTTGTGCTCAGGGAGGGTGGGCTTTCTCAGGGTCGTTTCTTTCTGTCATTACTCTTGCGCTGTGGAACATGACATCTCCCTGGCTTGCTTATCCCTCAAAGAAAGGTGGTCAATAAAGACAAATTGAATTATTTCCATACATTCAAGACAGCCACATAGTTCCTGGAGTCTGTAGCTTTAACCTGGGAGCTGCTGGGATTTGTGAGGAGTGCAGTCAGTCCTTGAAGTGTTCAGCCGTACATTGCTCAGGCCTGCCCTTCTTTATTTCTGTTTGGAGCAAGCTGCATGATGGAAAGCCAATCTATATGGCCTCTGGTAGTCTTGTCCGCCTGTGAGCTTAGCACTCCCTCTAGGCTCCCATTGCATTCCCCGTCTTGGGCTGCTTCCCAGCCCCAGGCACATGGTTGTTCGTTGCTTGAGTAAACTGAAGACAGCAGTAGCATCTGGTGTCCTTGTGAGAGCA